TTCTGAGTTTTACTGAAAATATACCACATTCTTCATGTAGAAAACTTATTGGGATCATTCCAAATAAGAACAGAAAGAACCCAAAACAATCATGTTTTTAATAGAATTAAATTTCAGGTAATTTATTTTAGAAATAAGTCTATACAATTATATACTCAATAAATGCATTATGTTTTTGATTCCAGTATTTTCATGTTCCAAACATTTCTAGTATTTAAAACTACCTAAAAACATTTTTTTTTTTCTGCTTAAAGTTTTCAAATTACGAAAGCAAGAATTTCCAATAGACCAGAGAAGAAAAGTTACGATTTCATGTACTGGCTGTGCCAATAGAAGGTAAAGCCATCTCTTGATGCTGTTTTCTCCTCAGAGTGGAACATATACACACAAACCTTTCCTTCCTGAGTCAGTGCATTCCAGGTCTTCTTTCTTTCTTTTTCCTTTTCACATACCGTAAAATTCACCCATCTAAAGTGTACAATTCAATGGCTTTTAGTATAATCATGGAGTTGTTTATCCATCAACACAAACAATTTTAGAACATTTTTTTTAGCCCAGGAAGATACCCTGCACTTCGTAGCCATCACCCTCGCAACCCCTCAGCCCCTAATAATCTCTAATTTACTTTCTGTTTCTATGAATTTGCTTATTCTAGATATTTCATGTAAGTAGAATCATACAATATTTGACCTTTTATATCTGGCTTATATTGCCTTCTTCGTGTTGTAGCATTATCAGAACTTCATTCCTTTCAATGACTGAATAATATTCCACTGTATGTGTATAAGCCACATTCGTTTAACCATTCATCAATTGATGGGCACTTGAATTGTTTCCATCTTTTGTCTACTGTGAATAATGCTGCAATGAAAATTTGCATACAAGTATCTGTGTCTTGTTTTCAATTCTTTTGGGTTTGTATCTAGGAGTGAAATTGCTGGGTCATATGGTAATTCTATTTTTAATTTTTTGAGGAAATGCTGAACTTTTTTACAACAGCTGCACCCTTTTACATTACCACTAGCAATGTTCAAGGGCTTTGATTTCTACACATCCTCTCCAACACTTGTTATTTTCTGATTTGGGTTTTTTTTTTTTTTATGACAACTCTCCTAGTATGTATGAAGTGTTATCTCATTGTGGTTTTAATTTGCATTTCTCTAATAATTAGTGATGTTGAACATCTTTTCATGTCCTTACAGGCTATTCGTTTATCTTCTTTGGAGAAATGTCAATTCAAGTCCTTTGCCCATTTTTTTTTGTTATTTTTACTGTTGGTGCTGTTGGGTCATAAGAGTTTTTTATATATTTTGGATATTAAGCATTTCTCCAATATATGATCTGCAGATATTTTCTTCCATTTTTCTAGGTTGTCTTTTTCACTTTCTTGAAAAATGTCCTTTGATGCACAAATGTTTTTAATTTAGTTGCAGTCTAATTTATCTATTTTTTTCTCTTTTGTTGCTCATGATTTTGTTGTCATATCCAAGAATCCATTGCCAAATCCTAGGTCTTGAAGATTTACCCCTATGTTTTCTTCTAAGAGTTTTACAGTTTTAGCTTTTATCCTTGGGTTGTTAACTCCTTTTGAGTTAATTTTTGTCTATGGCATGAAGTAGGAGTCCAACTTTATTCTTTTGCAAGTGAATATCCGATTGTCCCAGCATCTTTTGTTGAAAAGACTGTTCTTTATTCATTTGGTTGTCTTGGCACCCTTGTTGAAAAACAATTAACCGAATACATGAGAATTTATTTTTTGATTCTCAATTCCGTTCCATTCATCGAAAAGTTTTTCCTCATTCTACCTTTTCTGATTCACTTCTTTGCCATACTCCTACTCTCCTATTCCAATCCCAAATGAGGGTGCTCATTTAAAGCAAAAAGAAAGTTGAGCAGGAAGTGACAAAGAAATATTATTTTTGAGTTTATAGCAGAGCATCTTTTTTTATAGTCATAAATCTTATATTGGCTCTCAAGTGAATGGAGACTTAAAGAGAGATAAGATGGATTCTTAAAACAGAATATCTATATTTTGCAAGCAATCAGACATTTTCTGTGATGCCATTTCACTGAGTATTCCAAACCTTAAACCTGTATTTAAAAGTGTCTATGATTCTTATGTTTGCTAATATGCATGATAGACAAAGCTCTACTTTAAACTAGGAGCTGCAGATAGACGTTGTATAATCTTTTGTAATTAAACACAATCTACAGATTAAAAAGGTTCTGGTTTGTCTACTTCCAGGAATTTACCACTGTGCTATGTGCAGAGTGGGTACTCAATAAACACATGTTAGAAGAATTAATCAATCTGTTTGAAGTAGAGTTCTCTTAATTTCCTATGCAAAATATGTACTAATATATACATATTATCAATATAATTACTTCCTTTTATATGAGCATTAGTAACTTTCATTTTTCCCCATTTCCTTGTAAGCTAATTTATCTTAGCCATTATTATAAATTGTTAATATTGTGGTATTTATTTCACAGCAGTAAATTCCCCCTGAAGCACCCCACAATATACTCAGTGAAGAAAAGGGTTTCAGAATCAGTTACGAATAGGAATTGAGTCTAGTTGATTGAGAAATTAGTGACATTTCACAAGCGTCTGTGAAAACAGCTGGCTTCATTAACTCAGGTGACATCTCCTGCAGTGGCCACATTTCTACCCAGATGAATGATGGAGCATATGTTTTCTGACTTCCTTTGCTGTCAATAGATCTTCTTTGTCTGTAGTTATACCAAAGCTGATGGATCATTTCTTTGAATGGTCTTGTGGTCAGAGTATAGAGAATTGGATTCAAAGCACTGTTGATAGGAAGAATAAAAATCACTACCCAAGAAGTTATGGTACCTGGAAGAGAAAAATGAAGTAGTTTTAGTGTTTATAGATGTCTACAAGGTATAGAAACCTCCCTTCCTTGGTTCTTCCACCTCAACTTTTGAGTCATAATTTTTTTCCTTCGATGTCACATAATTCAATACCAAGTCTATATGTGTTTCCAGGATGTTTTTCCAGAGTGCCAGTGTTTGCAGGGAGTGCTAGTGCTGCAAAAGAACAGAGTTCTTTGCTAATGAGTTTTTCTTGAATATGTCAACAAGAGTATTCCATTAGGTAGAAATATTTCCATGCAGTGATTACACATTGTTATGATTGCATTTTAGGAAAAATCATATTGTTAAGTATTTAAATTATAGCTTTTCAAATGTTTTAATTACTAGATAGTACATACAGTATTTCTCAGAATATGTAGAATTATCTTTAATAGATTTCTGCTATTTGATTTTAAAAATAGACATGCATTTTTGGTCTTTTGACCAGATATTTATTTCAGCAAAAACATCTTTGGCTAAACCTACCTTAAGAATCACTCTAGTATATATGCAGCTACCAAATACTCAAGTTTTTATTATAATTTAAATGATGCTATCATTCCTCTTTTTGTTATTCATAAAATGTAAGATACTATCACTATCATCCATGGGATAGACCAAAATTAAAATTATATATATAACTTTTAATGATATGAATATATACCACATTACATATACAATTAACAGGATGTTTGCATACTTTTTATTGTGGCAAAATATATATTAAAAATTATCATATTTTCCACTTTTTAAATGTACAGTTCAGTGGCATTAAGTACATTCATATTGTTGTGCAACCATTACGACAATCTCTAGGACTATTTCATCTTCCATCCTGTCTATGAATTTGACTACTCCAGGAACCTCACGTAAGTGGAATCATAAAATATTTGTCCTTTTAAGTCTGGCTTAGTTAACTTAGAATCATATTTTCAAGGTTCGCCCATATTGTAGCATTGTCAGAACTTCCTTCCTTTATGAGGCTGAATAATATTATTCATTGTATGTATATACCACATTTTGTTTATGCATTTATTCATCTGTGGACACTTGTGTCACTTCTACCTTTTGGACATTGTCAATAATGCTGCTAGGAATGTAAGTATACACATATCTGCTTGAGGCTTTGCTTTTAATTCTTTTGGGTATTTTTCCAGAAGGTGGATTATCAGATTGTATGATAATTCTATGTCTAATTTTTTGAGGAGCTGCCATATTGTTTTCCACAGCAGTATATAAGGGGTCCAATTTCTCCAAATCCTCACCAAAACTTGTTATTTTCTTTTCTTCACCAAATAATTGTCACCCTAATAAATGTGATGCACATTATATTTAAATACCAAAAGTGTTTGCTTCTATTTATTTCTCATACTCTGTTCTCTAAATTGCATGTATTTCAGGAAGAAATATTTCTTAAATTCTTAAAAAAAATGAAGTAATTATAATTGTTTTGGCCTCTTTTCCTTTCTGGTCATCTTAAACATGTGATTACCAAAATTTCAACACTGGGTAATTTGTTTTGGTCATTTATTATTCTTTTGTTCCAATAATAATTGTGTCATTAGGCATTTATGGAAAAAATGAAACAGTTTCTTCCTGCTAAGCATTATTGATGAGCAGAGCCTAAAGTACATATAACCCTGACTTATCATTCTTGAAATTGGTTAGTGTTAAGGATCTTAATTGTCTTTCTTAGAAGAACATTACACAAATAGATTTATTATTTCTTTATGGAAAAAAAATTGTACCTGGTATTTCTACTTGAAGCAGCGAAAGAAATTTTAGCACAAAAATGGGTATCCAACATAATGCATCAGTAAATACAATAAAGAAAAATCTTTTGGCAAGTATCATCTCTTTTTTAATTTGATTTGGTATTTCAGTTGCTGTTATGGCGCTTTGATGAACACTGTAAAACATGCTTCCATAGGAAAAAACTATGATGATAAATGCTGCCAAGTTAATACCTATTTAGAACACAAGGAATATTATTAATGTATAGGAACATTTTTTTCAAAACATATAAATAAAACATATCCTTAAGTACTACTATTAAAGATACAAAAAACATAGCATGCATCTTTTGTTCTTCATAAAGAATTACTAAGGTGAACAAAAATAATGAATTTTTTTAAGTTTAAGTATTGTTGAATGAAGAATGATAAAATGTTTAATTTTAAAATGGCATATTAAAATTAAATAATAGTAATTCAATAAATATTTGGGCCTTTAAATTTTCTAGTATTAGTGATTTTTTTTCAAAATGGAATTACTTTGTGCTGTACTTTGAAAATATTTTTACATTGCTGGTTTAGAGCAGTTATATGTATTCTCTTAAGCCCAAGATGTGTGTGGCTACACACAAGAATTTGAAAAGATAATAAATACCATGATGTTTATATCATAAAGGCAAAGAGCCAATTTATATTTCGCTTAATATTTTTGGGGTGAAAACAAGAAATACAAATAGTTAGTGCTTTTTATTAGGCTGTGTCAGGTTGGAATTTATATGATAAAGGTATAATTTGGGGGAAAAATCCCTGTTGGTGATTCTGATAGAATTCACCCCCACCCTTACTGAGAAGAACTGATTAGAAGATCTGAAATAACAATTTCCGAGCATCAGAAAGTATAATGAGTTTCATATTGTGAGTTATTCCAGCATTTGAATGAAAGGGTTTGTACCATACAGTTTCTTACCAAGAAAAATTGCCACTGAATAAATCTGGGCTCCAATACTTTCTGTAACTTCTGAATGAAGAGGGAAACATACTCCATTGGTGCCATAGTAGTTTCTGAAAAATTCTTTATTACTCAGTGGAATGAAAGCCACTATAAACCCAACAATCCAAATGAGAATCAGAACTGTAATTGTTCTGCATTTTCCAGGTCTCAAACATCTAAAAGGATACACAATGCAGATGTATTTTTCCAATGTCAAAAATGTTAGAAGTAAAACTGATACTTCTGTGGACAGAATGGCCAAGGATCCCAAGAGCCGACAATGAATACTCTCCATCCACAGCTGTGCGTGCTTATTGTATTCTCCACGAAATTTTAGGTCAAAGGCTCCGATCACAAATAAATATATTCCCATTAGGCAGTCGGCACCTAGAGGGGTCAGAAAGTTTCACAAATTTAGAAAAAAAAGTAAGTATAATGGAATTATCAACAAACAATAATATTTTTAGTATTAGGAAAAACAGTCAAGTTTTTTCTACCTTGGGAAGAGGCAATTTTTATTCTCCTAAGAATTCATTTATGGATGAGGACCTATTCATCAACTCTCTCTGGTAACCGCTCTCATAGCACTCTCTACAGTTAACTATGTAATCATTTCTTCATTTTCCTTTAAAATGCAAGTCTGTAAGTGCAGAGATATTGTCTATTTTGTTCTCCATTCTAGACCCATTCCCTAGAAGTGTTAAATAAATGAATAAAATGCAATTATGTTGAGCATTCAATTAGGGACCTAGATGAGGATCACATTATTTGGTTCAGCGCTTCCACTGAGATTCTTCCAACTCAGTAAGCTAAGGACATCACCCAAAATCTCAGAGAAAGTAATTCAGAAGTTCCTGTGATAGAGTAATGACTATGAGTTTTGAAGCCTATAATTTAGAAGATATGAATAATTATGAACTGCTTTGCAGTCAGTACAATTTTGAGGGGCTTAAATGACTCACCAGAGCTGGTCTAAGCAAAATTGTTTTGTCTGCTTCTCTCTTTCTATTTTTACATCTTTCTCCATCTCTTTTTAGGCTCTCCCATCCTGAACATTAGCTCTCAATGTGATACCCTACTTGGCATATTTTCTTTTTAAACTAACATATCAGACAGGAGGTGAGATTTTTCTGAGTGTGCAAGTATTCTACACCAAGTCCCTAAAATCACTGTATAAATTATAAGGTTGACCCTAATCCTTTAACCCTGAAGTTATATTCTAGCCTTCACCAGGGAAATCAAATTTACCCAATATTTTGTAACTAACAATACAATTTCTGTGTTCTACTTATT